ATTGCTACAAGAGGAAGAAATCGAAAATGCCGCTCTTATCTGTTATACTGCCGTAGAAAAAGTGTAGTGTATAACTCGGACGGAATGTTATTATCCCACTGCAAACTTCATTCTTATGGAAAATCACTATCATTCCGTGCTCGTTGAACAATATACAATTGTAATTGGAATCATTGTATCTATAGATATCCCCAGGAATTTTGTACGTGTCTTTCATCAAGTAGTCTCACTTACGTCACAGTTCGCATTTGTGGGGCATCATTCTTGTCTTATCACTATTGAATATCAGATTCACATCACGAAATTTCTTAACAATATCATTTCAAGATGGAAGATCTACAGGTTTTTATTATGCCACATGCCACAACAATGAAAGATTCATTAGCAGATAATAGTTATTTATGCAACAAGTGCAAAAAGTGAATGTTTATATTGCACTCGACGTGAAATTGTTGGACAACACGTCGAGTGCAATAAACAATTTTTGCACGAGTTGCATACAACATTTTTTCTACGTTCATGCAAAAAGCAAAAAATGATTTATTGAGGTGCACCACTAGGTACAATTCTGTTAATTGTCAGAATTAATTTTTGACTGACGTTTCTATAACCACAGTTGCAATCAGAGATTCATCAAGTCAAGTAGCTTGATATTTTAACAAACTACTTGACTTGACTTGAAAATCAAGCTCGTGGCAAATTACGTACTTGACTTGACTTGAATTTGAGATATTCATTACTTGACTTGAAATCAAGCTACTTGATAATACTTGATCTTGATACGCACGAGTCGCACGGCGTATATTTCTGCAAGCTCGCTCACGCTTAGACAAAATACGGGGGTTCCCCGAGATCCGAGCTGACTGAATCGATCGCGCAGTCAGTCTTACGATTTACGATGCCATTTTCATTTCATCAGTTATATACAGGGTGACTCACGGTCGATGGTAGGTTAGACGTTCACGTTTATGATAGGAACGCAACGCAGGATTTTTCTGAAAATTTCGCATCTCACATTTCATCACCGGTACTATCGATCTAATATATTTTCAAAATCACGACGTTGCCGCTTCTATAGAAAAGTAGGAACCACTTTGTTAGTTCGAATTGAACACCCTGTATTTTATTGCATTTTCAGATTCTCCTTGAAGAGTTGATTTCATCGATACATCACACTCGGGGTATAGCGGAAAAGATTATGGAGATATAGAGTGCGAAAAATCGAGATTTTTCAACTTCAGGAATTTTTTGTGTATGCGAAATTTTCAGAAAAATCCCGCGTCGCGTTCTCCATAAACGACTAACCTATAACATCGACCGTGAGTCACGCTGTATAGATACACAATAAAACTGCTGAAAATCAAGTAGCTTGATAGAACTACTTGATTTTTCAAGTACTTGATAAATAATTACTTGACTTGACTTGACATTAAAAAACTTTCGCTTGACTTGAACTTGACTTGATTTCAAGTCAAGTCAAGTCAAGTAGCTTGAATATCAAGTCAAGCCGTGAATCTCTGGTTGCAATATAAAAAATGTTTGTCATGATGACAGCACGTTGAAGTAGAATGACAGATGAGTGCAGTAAAAACTTTATTGCACTAAGTGCAATCAAGAACTTCTTTTTCCACTAAATATAGTGCAATAAAGTTCTGCTTTTTGCATGAATGTAGAAAAATATATTTTTCAGCAGGATCATTTATGAACAAAACAAAAAAAAGGACCATAGCAGAACCCTGTGGTACACTCAGTTACTTGGAATACAAATTAGGAAATACGCTCGAACACGTTCCATGATTCAAGTTCATTTTGAACTTTTTTTACTCCCATAGCTTCAAACCTGAAGCTGGAGGTTGACCAGACCAACTCCTCAAAATTTCCATTTGCCCATTCAGATCATTCGCACAATATCGCAGTTAAGAATATGTAATAAATATTTCATTAAATTCACCTATAATGGAAGCTCATATAAAATAAATCCCAATGAGATATGTTCAATTTGTAATTTGAATTCTGCAGAAACGTTGCAGCATATTTTGTTCGATTGTCCGATTTACAATAGTTTCAGAATACCAAACAGTGATCATCTCCCGAATAGCCACTCGTTGATTGACTTCATCGACAATCTTACTCCACTTAAATGCAAAAATATCGCCAACTATATATGGAATATACAGAGCATTTTCAAGAAACGAGTAGCACTTCGTAATATCATCAACTTTGCCTCATTTCCTCATTCTTTCTTTCTGTTCGTATTTTTGTTATTAATCAAAACTGTAAAGTGATCATCAGAATCCTTGCTATAGGACTGTAATGTCTTTGAAAGCAATAAAGAATCTATCTATCTATCTATCTCTCTATCTATCTAACAACTCCTCAAAATTTGAATAGGAAGAGGCGGTCTTGTCATGAGTCTTTTCAAAGGTATCATCGAGTTATTTATGGCCCCATACCTAATTATTTTCATCGACAACGAAATGAACAACTATTTTTCTCGATTTTATAATCGCATAAATGAGTGACATTTTGAACAGTTTTCAGCCAGCTTTCATAACACGACCTATTTTCCCCATTCAAATTTTGAGGATTATTCTCCCCTCACTACATAGATGAAACTATATGGGTTGAAATAAGCTGAAAACCGAGAATTATTCCACCCCCAAATCAAAAATTTACATGTTGCAATACTGAAATGTTGAAATCATAAAAATGGATTAGAAAGTTTCTATTTGCCTACCCTGTATTTATGAATGATATTCATCATCCCACCAACTATTTTCTCAATTACTTTCGACTGTGTCGTTATAAGCTAATTGGCCTCGAAATTGGAATTGTGAATAGAACAATATCATGTCGGTAATCAAATTGTCACTCTTCGATAATACCCTATTTCTCCGAGGAATTTCTAATTCGCCATTACATAATATCTCCGTCAACACCAAGGAACATTCCAGTAAGTGTGATATATACACAACTTTTGTGTTCAATAATTATTCGCTTTTCACGTAAGTCACATGGAAATTCGAATAAGCCATTTCAGCTACTTATTCAACAGAATATGTCACGTTACAGACTTCGAGGTGGAGAACATGTGATTTCTGCAATCTACCAATATACCTATAACTCGTAGTATCTTTGATATTTCCTTTCGTGTAATATGTTCGCGCTATCGGGTAGGTGTTTCAGTTCCACTGAAATAAATATGTTTCAATTTCCACTACCGTTTGCTACTAATTAATTTGAATTCTACATCATTGAACTCCACTTCATGATTGAAACATTGATTAAAGACACCCCTTTCGATCTGTGGTAGACTGATAAACAGTTTCAAGTGAATATTTACTTGAATCAATTAATTTTCCAACCTTGAATTTTTGTTCTCCTAGTGAGAATTCACGTGAGACTACTTGTTTTGAATTATCTATTTATAGATCATTTCCATTTTTCAACTTCTCTCCGTTTTGGAATTATGACGTCACAGCCATTGACTTTACTACCAATAATACAGAAGATAAGCGATTCTCGAAATGCTCTTGCGCATATTTCTCAACATGTTTGATACCGTTGCATACACATAACAGAGATAAGGAAATAGTGCAAAGGAAAATCGTTTATTTTTATATTGTCTTTGATATTCATATCTCTTTTTTCTCGATATTTCTGGTGTGGAGGAAAATGTTACTCGTTATATTTGCTATGTTTGTAAAAATCTTTCAATCGATATTTTTATGATAGTCAATTCTTACTCACTCAGGTAGACGCATGATATATTGTTGGAAGTTCCAGTGGATTTTTCATATTTTCAGAACCATATTCTGAAGTTTCACATGATTTTTCCCAGTATTTTATTCATGTTGCATTTAGGGTAATTACACATAAGAAAAATCTACTTGGATCCAACAGGAAAATTCAATCTACTGTTTGGTAATCCACAAGATCATATAGATTTGGCTTTTCCTCGTATCATAATATTTGAAGCAGATGAACACTCTGACTTATCACGAAGATTATCCTCAAGGTGAGATTCTTCGAAAATAATTCGAAAATCGCAAGACATTGTACAGGTGTATGTTTGACAAGAAGCGATTCAAATGAGCTTCCTACTCAATTCCATAAGGGAACATATAGCATTGGAACATCCTGTTAAACATCGTTTTTATAACAAAATGTAATTTTTTTAATTGACTCGACCGTTAGTTGACCGAAATCCAGATAGTATGAAGTAAAAAACGATAAGATTCCCATGATGGTATATTATCATACCAGGGGAAAAGTGTTACATGACTGGTTGAAAAATCAATAGTTCGAGACAGTGATGTAACTTTTCACCGAGGTATGTATACTATTTTATTTACAACTATAATCTTTTAAACAAAAATTCAGATGAAACGCAATTTTTTCTATATTTTTTCTTAAACGTCAAAGACAATGAAAGAAAAGTAACCTCTATGATGAAGAAAACTAACAACAAATAACTTATTTTCTCAACAGTAACCTGGCAGAATTAAATCGGGCTAAAGCGTTTTCAACATGTGTGACACACATGTGTGATATAATGTTAGTTGATTGATGAACCGTCAACATCATATATTTCAATGAAGTACATTCATAGAGAACTATCAAATGATTAATTTCCTACGTAAATTCACATGAAAATATAGATTCTAATCAAAAGAAATTGGTTCAGAACATTGAAACGTGTTGATCGACTGCAACCACAACACCCTCATGATTGGGCATCGTGAAAACAGCTCCCGCTTTCACCGAACTTTGATTAACTTCATTATATCAACTCCCAACGCCTGACTACCCCTTCATCAAACACCTCTATCAAGAAACAAATGTCGCAGCAAACGAGAATTTCACGTGTTTCCATCCCCCATCGCGCCTGAGCGTGATACGTCGCAACTCCATCCCCACGTTTTCCACCCTATAAAAGCAGTTGTAAACACCCCATCCTTAGTGCTCGTCCACACCTCGATCGAAAAACAATCCGCGACATGCCATCCACCAACAGCCTAGTGCTCACGAGTATCCCGCCAGATAGCAGAAGTACCTCACCGATGACGATGAATCCGTCTCCCTGCAGGGAGATCAGGGGGATCCGGCTGTTCCGTGCCATCAGCAGGAAGCTCTCCAGGCGCTCAGAAGTAGACGGCAGCTACCCAGTTGATTCCGATTGCAGATCCTCCAGCGCTGACTCCAACTCGGACTCCAGCAGCTCCGGTCGAAGCTCCAGGCTGAAGAAGGGCTCCAGCTCGGGCGATTCAGGCTTCAGATCGGTCTCTCCCAACCAGATGTCGAGCAGTTCCAGTAGTTCTAGTGTGTCCGGGAGTGACAACCAGCAGAGACCTAGACACCACCACTCCACGTCGGCTGAGAGCATAAGGAAAGTGTTCCAGAGCTTGAACCTCAATGTTCGCTCCAGGAGTTGCACCAACACTAAGGAGAAGAGGAAAAACGTGAAGCCGGCTCCGAAGAGGATACTGAGGCAGCCTATGACTTATACCTATGTGAAGGGCTTGTCGGGACTGCCTACCCAACGGATACCTAGGACCAGGCAGATGTTGAATCCTTGTGGTTGTGGCATGCAGTACAATATGCCTGGTTTGAATAGATAAGTTGTTAGGCTGGGGGAATTTTGTAAATAATTGTTAGCAATATCATCATGTTCTGTGAACTTATCCTAATCAAGAAGACTGTTCGAGAGGTATGATATCAAAGGTTCCGTGATAATTTAGTATGTAAGCGTTGTAAACAATATCACCTTTTCTACCTTATATGTTCATTGTATCAAAGAACACATATATACATATATATTTTATTATAAGGGGACGCACGTTTGGTACACATCAATTTCTATATAAGTTTTCTAAAGCACCAAGTCGACTTCTGACACTTCTAACCTCGATACTGATTATTATTGTTTTATATTCAAACACCAAAAATATTGTGAACATTTTGAAAATGTATTTTATTGCTTAGTTACATGATCTTGTTGAGGAATACCGATTATTCTATATTTTTCAACTAGTGCCTTGTAGTGAGTCCCATAATAAAATAATCTAAAATAAAAAAACTGACTTTCATTATTTTACTCCAAACTTGTTTGATGTTGCTAGATGAAACATCCAGTTTCTCTCATAAATTTATTCCAGTAACAAAAAGCTGGAACTGATTGTCTTGAATAATTTTTTCAGCACAATATCACAAAAAACATTAAACATTAATTTTCGAAATATTCTTGAAAATGTTCGAGAAACTCATTGAACATTGACTGAGAAATGATTCGATTTTTTTATAGCATAATGATTGAAAATGTATAACTCCCGATTTACATTCCCTTTGCTGCTGATCAAAATGGCAAGATATTTCTCGAAAATAGTGTATAAATGCCAAAAGTCATTCTCACACATATTCACAGACCGGTTTCTAGCTTTATGCCCTTATTAGTGATGGGTAGCCATAGCCACCAGTTCAGATCTATACCATCGATTTTCCATGTTATTTGTAATAAATCAATAACACTTCAACTGTCCATTTCCTGAAAAAAATTTCAATCAACCCCAAAACAGTACAGACTTTTTCTCGTCATATCAATAGACATGCTCGTTTTTATTGTATGAAATTAGGAAAAGGATAGGGATGGAAAACAATGAAAAACCAAACGGAATGAAATGGATGATGATGCTACTGTTATATCTTCTACTACCTGAATCCGAACCCCAAGAATAAATCCCCTGAAAACATGCATGGTATTTAGGATCCAAGAATACCCCCTTCAGCAGATTCTTCCATATCAGAATCATTCACATCGCCTGGAACTGGAAATGCATCTGATAGACAAGGCTAATTTCGTGTTAGTTTGTTCAAAGTTTGTTTGACAACTGAACATCCCAGGCTATCAAAATATACTCACACGGTGAAGGCTATGCGCTTCTTTCAGTGGATTTGAAACTAGAATGAGAAGTGCTTACACTTTTCTCATGCTAGGTGTATTATACAGGGTGTTCCTTAACAGCATGCCAATATTCGGAGGGCCGATTTTTGGCCAGACTTCAAGAAAAAAACCTTTATATATGAACGTATGTTGTGAATGTCCTTTTCGAGGTACAGGGTTTCAAAGTTGTTGAAAAATAATGAGTTATATTCAATTACTAGGCAACTGTTTAATGAAAATCCAAAATATTGGTAAGACTCTGAGGGCCAATAAAATAGTGATAACATTTGGACAATCGGATTTCTATGCAGTAACATTGTTATTGGGACATTATTGTTAGTATTTTACTCAAAAGTGAGCAACGATGGAAAATTTACAAATTTTATTCAATTCTGTATAAAAATGGAGATCTTGTCGAAACTCGATAGGACCTTTGAGTATTCACACTAGCTCTTGTTGAAACTCGACAGGACCTTTGATATTCAACTAGGACATCCGTTCAGACTACTGGATAACCATAATAGGGTTGGGCATATAAGTGGAAACACCTTATTTCTGGTTAAACCAGAAGTTTTTTTTTTCTATCAAGGCTTTCAGATTTTTTTCAGTTCTACTCAGTGGCCATTTTTGATTTTTGGTAGCTATCATATTGTGTGTGGAAATATTCTCCTTGAAGAGCTGATTTCATCAATCCATCATTCTTGGGGTCTAGCTGGAATGATTACAGAGATATAAGGCGTTCAAAATCGAGAATTTTCAACAATCTGAATTTTGATTTCGAAATCACGAAGAGCTCTACAGGGTGGACAAGAAGATTATTTGCATATTTCAATTTTGACACCCTGTTTCTCAAAAGTTAGGACGTTTACGTCATACGTTCATGTAGAGTTTTTTTCTTGAAGAATTAGCCCCTCGACTATTATCATGTCATTGAGGAAGACCCTGTATAGTATACTATTTTTCACCAAACGTCAGAAGTTGTAGCGATATCCAAGATGCTGTCAAATGAAAAGAAGAGCTGGCTGTGGGCGCACAAGTGTTTCAGTGAAGTGATTGAATGTGGCTTCTCTGTAAATTGGCGAACACGCCGACTTGTCCGCCAAATGTTTAAAACGAGGAAATTTTCTCATATTATTTCGAATGAGTTTTTCCGAGACATTAAATCGCTCGTTTTGATGATGATAATAAAATAAATTTTATTTAAATTCGGAATTCCAACTACCAATTCCATAATTTGGGGCATTCCGTTTATTTATTGATATTTTTGTATATATGAGATTTCTTCTCGAAATTCTGGGATTTTTTAAAAAATTTTGGGATTCTTCCTCAAAGATCAAGATTTGTTTCGAAATTTCGAGATTTTTATAAGAAACGTCCAAAGGGACAAAGAGAAAAAAATCTTTTTTCTGTGACGGGAAAAAAGTTTGGCATTTCATCTCTGTTGGCAGGTTATAAAATGTCACTTTTCATAAATTACTTTTTTCCCGTGGGAAAAAAGTGAGTACTTTTTTCCCGGATATATATCACATATATATACTCTGTTAATGGCTTTTGTTGTGCTATAGTTCCGAAAAATGAGTCAATAATACCGTCTCCGAGAAAGAACTGCAAGTCCTTTTATCTTCCATTAGACTTCGCGGTTTCGTATATTACTAAACAACAACTGAATTCACAATTTTTCATAATCAAATCACAGAATTGAACTGACAGAACTGACATCAGATATTTGATTACTTCAAAAGAATGATAAAGATGTCTATAAAACGCAGGTGTCCCTACTGTTAAAAACTTGAAATTTCACGTCGATAATTTTCAGATTTGGAAATAATGTAATATCTTCTCAATATTGATTCGTCCTTCCTTCTGTCACAGAGAAAAATAGTGTATTGTACACGGGAAAAATATTAGATTTTAGCTCACGGTTTTTTGTCTCCCTCCGCTACGCGTCGGGAGACAACACAACCTGGAGCTAAATTCTACTACTTTTTTCCCTTGTATAATAAATAACTATTATTTCCGTTCAAAAATAGAACTCTCCCTTTACGAGCGTCCAATTTGTCCAATATGCAACTCACGAGTCTTTGTATAATAAATCCTGTTTGAATGTCCTATCCTATCGACTCAGACTTATGGCGAAATTCGATATTGTCGGAAATCGGCGACATTGATGGTCCAGTACTTCCACTCAATGATGAATATTATGTAGTTACGAACGTTTATTATGAACGAATTATTATTAAAAATTAAGTTCTTCATTAGTTGGGTCACATTTGAGATATGGTATCGCTTTTTGTGCGGTAAAATATTTATCTAGAGCTAAGCGTTTGGATCACTGTAGACCACTGTTCATTAAGAATAAAATATCAACAATTTATTAAATCTTCATTTTAGAAACAGTATGTCTCATTCAAAACAGAAAAGACAATTCTCCTTCAGAAAATGAATATGACACCCGGCAAGAAGCCAATATACCACTGCCAAAACCAACCTCAACGATGACCAAAAATTCAATTATGTTTGAGAGCCGGAAAATCTTTAATCATTTATACCAACTCAACTCAAAAGTATGACAGACTTAAAAGCATTTCGATAACTTCTGCTTCCAAAAGCATATAACAGCTTGAGAGAATATTTTCAAGACAAATGTTGAGTACCTGAACCTGTGAGTTAAAATCGCTTGATTTCGGGCCAGGAGCTATTTCACTTCCAGTCAGCTGCTTGTGATCTATAAGGCACAGATCCGACCTATCCTGGAATACTATTCCCATATTTGGAGTGCAGCACCCAAACATACCATGAAACTGTTGGATTCTGTCCAAAAAAAGGGCAATTCGTCTCGTGGGTGATGCCTCGCTCACAAACTCACTCTGGAACACCTCAGAAAAGTTGGCGATCTGGCTCTATTTTAAAGATATTTTCATCGACGATGCTCTTCTTGAATATCAACAATTATTGTTCCTCCCTTGGCAGTCCCCGCGAGATTAACCCGTCGAGTTGAGGCTTCGCACCCCTTCGTGGTCACTTTGGAGACATGCAGAACATATCTTTCCGAAGACTCTTTCATCGAAAGAACAGCGAGGCTCTGGAACACATTGCCATGGAGGTGTTTTCCGAGGCATATAACCTCCAGAAATTTAAGAAGAAAACCAATTCCTACCTTATTTCCCTTGGTTCTCACGTTGTTCTCTGAACATTACAGGATATCCCTTTTCGTGGGAACCAGAACATGAAAAGAAATACTACCTACTTATGATCCATGTGGATATAAACCGACCCCTTGTATGTATCTATCTACATAGATGGTATTTTTAATGTATGCTATCATCTCCCTTTACAAGTGTCCAATTTGGCCCACCGTGTATATCCCGGAGTCCCACCCTCAGGAGCAACCCAGGCCAAATCGGGAGTGCTTCGACCCAATTCGGAGGGTTCGTCGACCCGCCGTTCTATATTTAGCTCCCGGATCGAAGGGTGGGGGACGCCGCAGCGCGTCTTGAATGGCGGCGGTCGTTTTGGGGTCAGTAGGCCATGCCGGCTTCCTGCCTCCTGGAGCTCAATGAGGCCTACGTCATTCATTCGGGGGATTGGAAGGGGGGGGGGGGAGGAGGGTTACTGTGTTTTTTCGGTTGCATTCGATCATTGTTTGATTTATATACAGGGTGGGTCTCAACCATTGAACAC